GAGGACATATACTAGCATCCTCCCATGACCCAAAGCTCAATATATAGCGAGTTTCAGTTCGCAGTATACTGAGAAGGCCGCAGTCGGGACGGATCCCGACATTACTGTCGAGATCCACACAGCTGCGTGAATGACAGCTGGCTCAGGCCATTCCTCCAGTTAGTGCTGGAGGATCGGAGCTGGGAGGGGAGAAATCCCCGTAAGGAGCCATGACTGCCAGTCACCGCTCTCTGTAGGGAGATGATCGAGAAGTGAGCGAGCGACGGTATGTGTTCGCTCATTTTCCGATCTATTGAGCCGACGTGTGACAGTTTAATTGTTGCACGTCGCCTCGAACTATGATTTTCATTCACCTCATACAGGTGAAACTCGAATAATTAGAATATCGTGCAAAAGTAATTGCAGTAAGTGCTGCAAAAGGGGCCCAAACCAAGTACTGAGTACATATGCATGCTTATACTTTTCAGAGGTCCGATATTGTTCTATGTACAATCCTTGTTTTATTAATTGCATGTAATAATCTACTTTTTTGAGGTTGTGGATTTGGGGTTCTTGGGGTTTTCATGAGCTGTAAGCCATAATCATCAAAATTATGACAAATCACGGCTTGAACTATCTTGCTTTGCATGTAATGAGTCTATCTCATATATTAGTTTCACCTTTTAAGTTGCATTAGTGAAATAAATGAACTTTGCACGATATTCTAATTATTCGAGTTTCACCTGTAGTTCTCCTTTAAACAATTCCTCCATTAAGCTTCATCATACCGAAATATTGGAAAACTTGCTTCTCTCATCTATACATTCTCAACATTTAAATGACAAACCCCCAGTGTGAAGAAAGCGACCTGATTTTTGGAATCGGTACACAGCAAAGTCTATTTATAAACTATTTGCTCTGTGAATGGCTAAAAACGTTTGTTCTGTGCAAATAGAGGCAAAAACAAATGCTCTTTGTATATTTCCTTTTCAGGTCGAATGTAACATTTGGAAAATGCCACATTGAGGTCACTAGATGGAGCTGGGGAGCAGAGAAATAAAATACTTTTTTAAAATGGTAAAAATAAAATGCTGATTTGCGGGCTTTCTGTGGCAGAATAGTCTGAGTAAATCTTTGCCATAAAGACTTCTTTTTACCTGTCAGTAATTTTTTTCTGTACTCTGTACTCATACATGCACAGCTCAGCATGCAGACACGGCATGCCAAGATGGAGTAACTCCTGTGTGCATTCACTGGAGTTGAGTCATTGGGCTCAAACAATCAACCAGCACCAGAAAGCTCGGGAGCTGGAGAGGCAACATAGGACAGCACATTGCTTAAAGAAGAACTCCAGAAAATGTGTTTATTAACCCTTGCAGTTGTGCTCCCCCCACACTGCAAGGGTTAAGTGTTCATTTGTGTCTAGCGGCTAAAATAGCAAAGTTATATTCACCTGACGCTACGAAGTAGCCAGCTATCACAGAACTCCCTTCAGCCTGTCTCCCCTCCCTGCAGCATTGGAATCTTCCTGAGTGTCCTCACGTCTATAGCACTGGCGTAATGATTTACATGACAACCGCTGCAGAGGAGGGGGGGATACTTTAGAAGGCCCGGTCTCAGAAGAAGCCAGCTCAGACCTTCGAGTGAGGTTTATTTTTATCCTAGACACAAATGAGCACTTAACCCTTGCAGTACGGAGGTAGACCCACTGCAAGGTTTAATAAAAGTTTTTTTTTGGGCAGGGAAATCAGTAAATCTACATATATTTTACCTGTATATGTACCTGTCTGCCTGGAGTTGCACTTCAATATTGAAAGTAAAGGAACAGTGTAAGAAAATGAAAATTACTTTATTGTTAAGGCTTGAAATATTCCAGCTCTCCTCGCACTAGGTCACAAGTTTGGCCGCCGCTGAGCCTTCCATTCTCTGATGCGTGGCTCAGAATAAAATGTTCTTTAAATAATGGATACACTCAATGCTTTCTTTTGAACTGGCAAGTTTTTGTACAGAATCTTTTATAGCATCCTCTATTAATTTAAATCAAAGTGTGTCTTGCCGTAGCTTCCTTTAAAATGCCTTTTTGCTTGATGTGGTGTTTTGTGGTTTAGATTGTGATCACACAGCCCTGCTTTCAATTTCTTTTTGATTTCTCCTAATCATACCACACTACCACACGGACCTCCCTCTCCTGCGAGTTCCGGATTTGATGCATTTACGACGTTCATGACAAATCCTAACCCAAATGTTGTTGCCATGGCAACAAAGGTGCCTGTTCACAGTTTGTATTGCTGTGTTTATTGCATTATTCTGCTCAAGTGTCTGTAGAGAGAAAAAAAAGTGTGTGTGTAAATCTGTCATTAAATAGAAAGATAAACATACAGTTGTGCTTATATCTACAAACTTAAAGTCACGTCTTCAATATCTGATGTTTACTATTGTAACTGATTTCCTGATATAACCATTCTGCCCATGCTGATCTTGCATAATAGGCAGTATACATGCCTTTCATTCTTCTAGAGAGATTGCGTTGTAAAGACCAGCAGAAGACTGCTTGTCAGGGTTAGGAAACTGAAAAAAATTAGGACAGGAGTGAGGGTAGCTGTGTACAAAATGTATTTGTTACCTTGAAGCAACACTAAACAGTAAACTGAGGATCATCCATCGGAGCAGGGAGGTAAGTCAAAGACAAAACAACAGATGGGGTACAAACACACACTCAGAAGACTTAGGATGAAGTAGGCTGTTTTGCTGGTGAATGGTAAAATGGTGTATTACAAGGGGTAGGACCAGGGAGTGCCTTCACCCGTGCTTCTAATGGTGAGGAAGAAGTTGAGCAGCAGTGTTCCCCAGGTCATACCTTTAAAGTTAAAGCAGAACAAGACCCTTCAATTGAATGGTCTCCCAAAACAGTTACTTTCAAGGCATGACAACTGTCAAGGTTGCCCATGTGCTTATTTCAGCTCTAACTTTTTAAACTCTCCATTGGCTGGTGTCATAGCTAATCACATGTGCAGCACGATGGCAACTGCCATCCAAATAGAGTCTAAGATGGCACCTTCCTTGACTGTAAGGGATAGTCGGGTGTTGTTCTGATTTAACCTATCAGTTGTAGCTCTGATTTAACATTTATTGATTCCACAATTATCAGGAAGATGAGAAGAGATATCCAACATGTTTTAGGGGCTCAACAATCCCAATTCATCAGAGATTAAGCAATTTCTTGCACACATTCAAAAGGACTCATAACACATGACCCTGGGCTTGTATTTCAGAGACAAAATGGGGTAGTCAGGGGGTGCCATCAGTAGCACCTTTGCAGCCACACTGGCTGCAAAGTGTGGTTTTGGGGCTTCCTTGTGCTTGGTTACAAACAGATTTCATAAACTGGGTGACCCATGGGAGAAACCCATTTTTGTGAATAGCTGCTGAACCCAGATCACTGGGCCAAAACATAGGCACTCCAACAACCACCTAAAAAACTGGGTGCAGTGCCTCAATCTCACCTCCTCTTGCACATAGAGGTAACATGGAAGGAGACTAAGAGAGACTAGGTTAAAGGGTAACCTGCAAGCACACAAGAAGTGTAGAGATTGGCAGCACATTAGGTGGAAGTAACAAAGCAATTGAACACAACAGCATAGATAGCGAGATAGAAGATGAAAGGGATCAAGGTGGCAAGCGAGAGGCTAGGATAGCAGAGACAAGAGAAAATTCCCAATCTGACAATGATCCAGCTCTATCCCTATGAGAATACAATCTTAAATACCTATAGGCAGAGTACAAACAAAACTCAGGAAGCGGGCAGAGAAGGTAGGTGACACAGGGTACAGTATGGGCTGATAGACAAGGCTGAGTAGGTCAGAGACACGGTCAAAGAGACAGGAAACATACCACTAACAAAGGGATACCAGGGTAGACGTGTAGAAAGTTGGAACAATAAACTGTAAGCCAGGAACCCCTGATTCTAACCCTTTAAAAATCATTATGTTTTGGCACTTGGGGAAACACAGGTTACAGCTTTTAGCTTGTATAAACATAAGAATATGCTGTTTATGGAGATATAACGTATAGGATATGCCACAGTCATGAAATAAAGTAAAGGTAGATTTACCCTAAATAGCAGGTTACTACCCTGTTACTGGATACAGCTTTTACCCCTGTACAGTTACAACAGAAACTCAATCATCCATTCAAGTTGTGGTTTCAGTAACTCAGAGTGCCACTTATCCTCAGACCTCCTTTTTAAGGCATCAAAAAAATATGCTTCTCTTTTTTTGATGCCTTGTGTTTGGTTACAGACTGGAATCTATCTATACACACCAGTATAATGGTTTTCTTACACATCACGGGGCCACTCTGGGGAAACATAAATATTTTCGACTCCTTGTTTAGGCCACCGCTAATATCAGTGCTGAGTCTTTCTTGTGGTATAATGTGCAGAGCCAATGATGGAGGGCAGTATGTTCAGGAGAGGAGCATGGAGCAAATGATGATGGACAGTATGTGCAGGAGAAGGGTGTGGAGAAAATGATGGCGGACAGCATGTTCAGAGGAGTATGGAGCAAATGATGATGGACAGTATGTGCAGGAGAGGAGTGTAGAGCAAATTATGGCAGGCATTATGTGCAGGAGAAGAATGTGGAGCAAATGATGGCAGGCAGTATGTTCAGGAGAAGGGGTTGGGGCAAATAGTGGTGGGCAGTATGTGCAGGAGAAGAATGTGGAGCAAATACCTGTGGTCAGTATGTGCAGGAGAAGAGTGTGGAGCAAATGATGGTTGGTAGTATATGCAGAAGAATGTGAAGCAAATGATGGTGGGCAGTTTGTTCAGATAACGAGTTGAGCTGATCGTGATATTGTGATTGGAAACAGTACATGTGGCGATATTTCTGGTGCAGTCTGTTTTCCTTGTCACTTTCTTTATATAACTATATTGGATTGCAATGTGTGGGTGGGTGTCAACACGTCACCTATTTTCAGTTTCTTAAAAGATTAATTTGTCTTCCTTTTGAATGTTGCAGTGTGTCAGGATCAGCGGTAGTGTTTCAAGTCCGCCCCAATATCCAGAATTTGACAACAGAGCGTGTGGCAAATGCAGCAGGTACTGTCAGTCTTCATTTCATATACTATGATGATCATACCTGACTAACTTGTTTATAGTTATTTTTAACCTTGCGTTTTAAGCTGGAGTTCAGTCTTACAAAATGTGTGCAAAAAATTCAATAATATGTATGAAAATGTTTTAAACACATATTATCATAATGTCACTTTTGTGAAGTGTTCAGTCAATCATCCAATCAGTGTCTGACTGCTACTTTTCTAGGGAAGTTTTGACATTGAATGTAAACATCTAGCTCTGCAAAACAGATGTTTCCATGTGCAAACATTTTTGCCCCATGGCAGGCAGTGAATTCATAACTGCACTGTAAGATGATAGCTGCAAACCTATAAACTGTAGTTGTCAAACAACATGGCTCCTAGAGAGATATAACTATTCAGCAGAGGATAGAAGGCACTTTCCCAGAGTCTATATGGACACAAGATGGGTCAACACATTGCCTATGAAATCTGTGCTCCATCACAGAAGCCCCATAGGAACAGAATATACTCAAAGGATAGTTGTACTTTTTAAGAAAGAGTAGATATCATTATTGCTTAGACCCCCCCCCTCCCTCCCCCCCTTAAAGCCTTTGGCCAAAAAAAGTCTTCTCTCTGGCCACATCTTCCTAATTCTGTTTGCATAGTAGTGGTCTATGCCATAATGGAGCCCACATCTTAAATCTGCACAGGACCATCTACTGTCTATGTTTGCTGTTTTTGAATTCCCTTTTTTCTAGAATGCTCCACCACCTTACTATATCAAATTTGTCATAAATATGGAGAAATAGAAATGGAGAACCAGATTACTTTTCACAAACGTTAACTCCCTAAATATATTTAGGCAGTCAAGCAAGTATACAAATTGAATCATTCACAGGAGCGTCACACAGATGCATTTGGGTAGTTGGAGAATCATGAAATGTGATGATGAATGTATTGTCTCCCTTGCACCTACAGTGTTGTACTCAATTTACTCAAATCTGACTATGGAGATTCACTGAAATATGACAGTCTACAGAGATTCACTGAAATCTAACAGTCCATCGATTTTCTTCACCCCGACACTCTACGTCGATTTTCTAAAATCTGACACTCTACAGAGATTTACTGTGATTTAATCTGCAGTTAAGATGTATTCTGGCAGGCACAATACATACGTTTCCATTGCAATCTGACCTGCATTTTGACCTTTATTGATTTTAAGGTCAACATTACATACATGGAACCCAGTTATAGCTGTTTCTATTATTTTCAATGGGAAGAAAATGGGTATATTATTGAAAATGTCCAGAACACAGTTCTGGGGTAAACTCCATTTGTTTGTTTTTCTACACTTTCTTTTGTTCACCCACTGGCCTCACCAGTAATTTAGTTAATGTCCCTAGGACAGGGAGTGCATTAGGACTACAGAAAACCTCCCAACCCCTTAACTCCATAACAAAAGTGATGAGTGTCTTGTAGCTCACAGAAGAGAAATTTAAAGTCTAATAACATTGTTTGAGATTTTAGTTCAGTGATTAGAAAGTTACAACGACACCATATCCAAAAACTGGTAAGCTACAATATATTACATTTTTGTTCTTGAGTTTATATACAGTTTAATCATTTGATTTCCTTGATTGCCACTTAACAGAATTTGCTGCTTATACGTCTTTTACAATTCAGATTAGCATCCTTATATTGCATTTTGGCCATGCTCCATGGTGGCATTGCTGTATAGCTGACTGCAGACTGTGACAAAGTCCTAGTGAGGAGTCTGAAATATTATAACTGATTAATTTGCTAAATGTTAAATAATCCCAAGAACTCAATACGTTATTAAACTTATTAATGCCACGTAATTAAACAAGTAGATGAGGATCAGCGGCATAATCATGGAAGATTTTCAAGTGATTAATTGCAGTAAAATTAAACCGAACATAATCCTCTCACTTTGCTAAAAGGTACACTTTGAACTATACCTTAAACTTTGAAATGGGGACTATGGCTGATGATACACATGGAACTTTTCAGACAACTTCAAAGAATTTCTGTCCAGTGGGACTAACACATACGATCATATGTAATCTCCAGAAGGTAGCAATTAAAAACCCATGAGCTTGATTGACCGCTAGAATTTAAAGTCGATTCTAATGTTGAAATTAATTTATTATAATGTTTAGTATAGATCTGGGCTATAAATTAATAGCTGCAATATAGTTATTGAAAAATCAAAATTGAAAACGAAAAAAAAAACTAACAGGCTTATTCACAAAAGGGTGAAGAGTTTGGAGAAGGCAGGAGAAGTGAACAATCTAGGACAATGTAGCTGAACTGGAAAGTGAGGTGAATTGGATAATTTTTCCAAATCTGCTATGTTCTCCTAGATTGTGCTGCCTTCTCCAAACTCTTCACCCTTTTGTGAACAACCCTGTATAATGTTTACAAATTTTCTTTTACTGGGTTCAGTTAGGACAATTTTCATAGCATCTCCGTGTGGTATAGTCAAATCCACCATTTTATGTCTTAATTGGGTTGTAATTTCATTAAAAAAAATAGAATTTACCATGATATGTATTTTGCATTTCTGTTGAATGTGTTCACATTATGAAAAATATAAAGTAAAAAAGAAATAGAATTTAAAGTTCAATTGCACTGTCAGATTGCCATGTATAAAGCCAGCTTTTGCAATACCTGTCCCAGTATTCTATTCTTCAGCTAGGCATACACTGTACATGAATGCCTTGTTGCCAGTCATCTTTTTTTTTTAGGAACACCATTTGCTGATATGTGTGAATGTCTAGGCTTGGTATGTTCCTCGTGTCGCTCAAATAGAGAGAGGTAGTGAAGCTGCACAGAATCATGTGACAAGCACGTGTGAGGGCATGCTGAATGAAAGCTTAAATTGATTAACTGAAATTCAGGTTAAGATAACTAAAGTGCATTTTCTGACCTCAGTTAGAGTAGCTGTTTAAATCGTTTAGCTTCTTAGATGAATTGTTTGTATAGTTATGGGCATTTATATAATTCATGAGGAATTTAAGTTTCCTTTCTTTTGCGTGAACAGCCATGGCAAAAGCTATTACACAGGACAGCATGTGATTCAAACAAAGGATTCTTTGGTGCATGCTGGGAAAATTTTGCTCAAGCAATTTTCCTTGAAGCTCATTAACCAACCTGTTTTCACTCAGGGGCATATTAATAAAGCAGCGAATGTGACATTCACCAAACATTCGGTGCAATTACTGTAATTTAAAACACATGCATCAGGATTATTGACCTGCACTGAATGTTTGGCGAATGTCACCTTCCCTGCTTTATAAATATACCCCTTAGAGTAGGAAAACCCTCCATCTAGGCAGCTCCCGTAGTTGCTTATCAGAGACAGAGCTGGCCTAGAAGCTGAAGAGCAGCTGAGAACTCTATAATTGGAATTGTAGTTAGTATGACAAAGTGTGTACTAACATGAAAACTCATTAGGCCCAAGAGCTGTGCGATTCTTGTAGCCACTATGAGGACTCTGCCTGGACATTTAATGAAGTTTGTATTTTGTAGAATGCATAGAGGTAGGAGCAACTAGGAACACTACTATTGAAGCAGAAGTGAGAACCAAAGCAGGTAGCAACAGAAGCAGGGACTATGGTAGGCAAGAACCTAAAAAGATAAAAGAAGCCAGAGGTGATTCAGTCCACTGCACTGTACTTATACAGTATCTGGTATGTCACTTATAGGTGACCTTGTCTTTTGAAGCACAGCTTATATTTCACAAAAAAGTGGGTAGTTGTTCGGACCCAGAGAGTGCCTTGTAAATACAACAGTTAGGGGTGTATTTACAGGTGAAACTCGAATAATTAGAATATCGTGCAAAGTTCATTTATTTCACTAATGCAACTTAAAAGGTGAAACTAATATATGAGATAGACTCATTACATGCAAAGCAAGATAATTCAAGCCGTGATTTGTCATAATTGTGATGATTATGGCTTACAGCTCATGAAAACCCCAAGAACCCCAAATCCACAACCTCAAAAAAAGTAGATTATTACATGCAATCAATAAAACAAGGATTGTACATAGAACAATATCGGACCTCTGAAAAGTACAAGCATGCATATGTACTCAGTACTTGGTTTGGGCCCCTTTTGCAGCACTTACTGCAATTACTTTTGCACGATATTCTAATTATTCGAGTTTCACCTGTATTTGCCTTGCAAAATTGTAATTTTGTGGGAATGAAGGCTAACATGAACATTATCAGTATATTTTCAACTTGAATGTAATATCTGGAAAATGGCCACCAAATGGAGCTGAGGAGCATTAATAAAAAAAACATCTTTCCTATGCTTCCCAGTTCCAACTAGCGGCCATAATGCAAATATTTCTTAATATTACCATCGATTTTTTTAAAAAATGAATGAAGATCATTCGTTGTTGCCTCCATTTGCAAAGAACAAACATTAATGGCAGTTTGCAGGATTAATGGCTCTGCAAATTGTTTATTAATACAAACTAAAGTCAGTACTAAAAGCATATACAGTAGTTACTTATATACACTCCATTATATAATGCAGTGTATGTAGGAAATTATTTATTAGAAACATATGTCCCTCTCAGGGCCAGGTTTTAAAGATTTACAGTACTATAACAATAGCAAGATCATGATCAAATTTGCAGAATATGAACTAAGATCAAATTATCACAATCATAATCATGTCCACAGTGGCAATTCAGTTGCTATGCTGATACAACTAGAAACCTACACAGAGACATAGTCAGTACTGTACTGCCAAAAACATGTCTGCAGAGACACTGTAAAACACACTGTACTGACATAATCAGTACCATGACTCCAATTACCAGTGGCATATAAAATAATATTATTTTTATTAGTGCAAATACACAGAAACACATAAAAAAAATTGCACACACAATAAAAAGGTTGTAGAATTCTAGACTACTGAAATTCAGCTTTGCAACATGTACAGTCTCCAAGGCTATACATATTGACTGTTTTCTTATAATAGTTAAAAGCATCACGCCAGAGAGGATCTTATCAAATCAAAGTA